CTAAGAGTGAGCGGCGTGCCATGGAGCCCCAGAGGCACGCTGGGCTTTGGCCTGTTGGGCTTTTAAAAACTTGCTGAAGCTGTCAAACCAGTGTTGTTTTCATTCCCCAGAATCCTGTCATTGTTGGGGACAAAGCCCAGTGAAACAATCAAATCCGGATTCCCAGGACAGAAGACCTCCTACCTAATCTGATGCTCTAACCAACGCAGAAACGTCCGCAGTTGACCAAGCAGTCCACGCTTTCTGGAACGCACACTCACTGGAGGAACTCCTGAAATTTAAAAATATGTTTAAGGAGGTGGTTTTTCAAGTATTTGCTCTGTTTTACTGTGGAGTCCCAGACACCTCAGAGCAGTTTAGCTTTCTATGGAAAGGGGGACTCCTACAACCAGAGGGCACAGGCAAAGCCTTCGAAGCCACCCTGAACCAGGAGGAGGGTGAGTCAGTCTGGGGGATGCAGGGTGTGTGGGAATGCCTGCTAATTTCCTTACCCCTCCCAGACAAGCTGCAGGTGGCCGCCACCCAGGACTTCACCTGAACAGCATTCCAAGGACATTTCGGATACCAACACACGTGAGAAAACGGATGAGAACAGATCTCAGCCTCCTCCTCCCCAGGGCCAGCCGAGGAGTTCTTTAGAGGTCAAAGAGGAAGAAGATTCTGATCTCCCATACCCTCCTCTGCTCTGGCAGATGGAAAGAGAGAATTACCAGGGTAGATGTGCTACATCTCAAGTTAAAAATTCAGGTTTCGTCTTCCCGGCTCCCAAGTTTGCTAAACAGCACCACCTGCTGTCTCAAAAGTCAGGAAACAGGAGAGAGCGGATGTGTGTGAGGTTTGCAGATTCACATTTAGAGTGGACTTGAGTTTCCCTCCCTCTGCACCCATGAGACTCTCAGGAAAAGCCCTCTTCTCCACAGCGCCTGCCTCCTCCATTTCAACCCCTCCTCCATCAAAACCCGCCGATTTCCCATAGCTTTATGTGAATTCAACCCCCAGCACCACATCAATGATTTCTCCAACACCAACTCACCATTGATCAAACAGATCCTAAGCGCACATTCTGCACTGCACTTCCTGGTAGGAAGGGGTGGTTAGCTGCTCAGGGTCTGGAAGGGTAGACCCCTAGAAGGTCTCACGGAGGATGTGTTGTTGACTAGCACCTTTTTTTTTTCCAGTATTGACGAAACACACATAATATGACATTTACATGTTTTAAGCTGTACAGTTCAGTCCTGTTAAGTGCATTCACATCCTCGTGCAACCCATCTCCAGAACTCTTTCCATCTTAATCCCAGTCACATTTTCAACACCACTCTCCCCGAATTCTCACTTTCTACTCCCTGTCTCAGAGCTCAAGTTCTTCTTGACAGTCATACATTTTTTTCCCGTCGACTCCATAAAGCCTCGTGTGAGGGCCCAGGAAGACTGCCCCAAAGAGGTACTGACTTTGGCTGTAAGGGAAACTGCAGGAAATGAAAACCACACTCAGGTGCCAACTCTAAACTTTGACAGATTGAGGCTGCGGCAAATAGCCCAGATTTCTGCAGAATTGCCCTATCCCAGGTGGCATACCTGGTTCTCGTGTTCTATGGAGAAAGGAGCCAATTAATCAATAAAAGCGCTATCGCAAATATTCAAGAACCTTCTATGTGCCAGTCACAGATTCAACAAGACAGATTCAACCCTTGTGCTATTTTACATTAAACTGGCACAGAGAATTAAACAAAATAAATACAAAGTGTGGTAAGAAGTATAAAGGAATCAAAAATAAATATATTTGGAGGGGAGAAAAGATCTTACTTTGCAGGATGGGTACATAAAAGCCTTTCAGGGGGAGACCTGTAAGCTGAGAGCTGGGCTCCACTCAATGAAAAATACCTGACCTTGCAAAAAGCAGAGAAGGAGTTACTGGCAGGAGAGTCTGTGCAAAGGCCCTGAGACAGGAAGCCCTGTTTATACTGGAGGAACTGGAAGAAGGCTGCTATGGCTGGCGTGTGGGATAGAACAAGGGAGAGAGTGGAGCTTAAACCCTGAATCACGGGGTCAGGTATTGTGTGTCCGTGGGAGAGGAGTAGGCGAGCACACAGATCTGGCTGCCGCAGAAAAGGGAACCTAGAGCGAAGGAAGAGAAGGCCTGCTGGGGGCGCTCAGGAGCAGTTCGGGGTCCATCCTCCATGCCCTACCCCTACCCCACCGCGGGTCAGCCTTCCAGTCTTTTTGCCCAGGGTCCCAGGCCTATTCCTAGGTAGAGAATGCCTTTCTCCCACCCCTGGGCTCCCACCTACCCGCAGGCTGGTCGTTGGCCCCTTAAAAACCGCCGCCCGCGGTCGGATGCTCGGCCGCGGGTACCGCACGGGTCTCCTAGGTCCGCTCTGTCCGGGAGGCTGCGCGCTTGCCCCACCACAGAATACATCCTCGGCTTTCCTCAGCCCAAGGTGGGGCGTCCTCCCGACCCTGCCCCCCCCTCAACGCACACACACCCGGGATTTGGGGCCGAGCCTGGGGCCATCTCTGCCTGCGGAGAACGGAGTTTCCTGATGCGTCTGCAGCCACTTGCCGAGCAGTAAAAATCGGGCGCCTCTCCCCGATTTTCTTTCACTACTAGGTCTTGCTGGGACTCACAGCCGATGAAAAAGGGGGGAAAAGGCAGCCCAGGAACTCTGGGAAAGCTCAGTGGGCGACCCACAACCGGTGTGCTGCGCCCGCACGCGTGGGTACGCGTCTCCGTGATCCCCTGGAACCCCCTGGAAGCCCCGCGCGCCCCGGCGGGGAAAACCTCGGGGTCCCCGGGCACCAACAAGATCCCCGACCGCAGGTCGAGGGGCGGCGCTGTCTGCACTTTGGAATACTTCCTCCTCGGCGCGCTCCTCCCGAACATGCACACGTCAAGTACCTGAGGAAGCCTGGGCCAGCCAGGTCGCCGTCGCCGTCAGTGATGCCCGGGAGGAGCCTGCCCCGCTCCAGGAAAGACCGAGCCGCGGTGTCGGTGCAGAACCGCGCGAGCCGGGGCCTGGAACCTGGCCTCCCTGCAGCCTCGCCGGCCGGCGGCTGCTCTCGCTGGTGGAGCCCACGTCCTGGCACAGGGCTTTCCCCGTCCTAAGAAAGCCTGTAGAACAGTCCCCCGCTCCTACCTGTGCCTTCATCTCCTTGTCCGCACCAGCCCTGCGGTGGGCAAGTCCCCTTCATCCCTTCTTCCCCGCGCAGAGCGCAGAGGACCGCATCTGCTCCGAGCCGACGTGGGTCTCCAACTCTTGCTTCTCCGCGAGGCGCCAGAGGTAGAGTTGGCTCCGAGCATGCGGACCCTGGAGGCTCCTCTCAGGCCTCAGCAGCCTCCTTCTGGGCCCTGTTCTGGGTGCTTATTACCAGCTCGGGGGTAGAGGCAAGAAAGAGCCCTTGAGGGGCAAGAATGATGGGTCGATGGAAGCAGCCTGTGTGGGAAAAGGCAGCATCCGCTGCAGGGGTCAAAGCACCAAGCATACCAACTCCTGCAGACCTTCCTAGCTGTGCGACCTGGGCGGGGCAGGTTACTGATGCTCGCCCAGACAGTAAAAGAGGGTGATGATGGTGATGCTGCTGCTGCTGATAATGATAACAACAACAATAACAATAGTAATAATAACCACTTACCTCTTTGAATTGTTATGAATATTAAATAAGTGCTTAGAACAGAACAGCTTGAGACAGCATCCCATAGTCATTAGCTGTAATAGTAATGGTTATTGTTACAGTTTGGACTCCATCGAAGAGCCAGATGGGGTCACTGACAATTTCCTCAACTGAAGACCCCACTTCAGGGGCCAGTCCTGAAGACCTTCGGAACCTACAGTTTGGGCAACTAAGTCCTCTTGAGTTAACCTTTTCCTGAAACTCACTTAGCACTCATTACATGTCACCTTTTATGATTAACTCCCTCCCCCCTTTTTTTTTTACCATGTGAGTTGTATTTCCCCAGCCAGAGTGGAGGGCACCATAAGAGCAGCCACTGTGTCTTATACCTTTTAGTATCCTGGGAGTTTGCAGAGTTCCATGTATTAGCAGATACCTAGTAAGTATTCATTCCTTATTAATATGCCAGGGACCCTTGCTCAGGTGGTTCTCAACCCTGGGATATCCTTCCAGCTCCCCTTCACCTATTATCCCGATCCTAGCCATACATCAAAAGCCAAACCAAGTCCTACCTCCGCATGAGATCTTCCCCAGCTATTCTCGCCCACTCGAAGTGTTCCTTTTCTAAATTCCTGGCATATTTACTATCTAGACAACCTACTGTGACTTTTTATTACATTCAGCTTTGAAATGGCACTTCTGTTTCAGTGACTAAGGTTACCTTCCAACAAGACTGAAAACCTCTGGAGAAGAGGATCTATACTGTTCCTGGTTTTTTGTTTTTATTTTGTTTTGGAGGGGTTTTTTTTCTTTTTTTTGCACACCTTCTGATGTCCAGATGCTATGGTCTGAATGTTTGTGTCCTCTCAAAATTCCTGTGCTGAAACCTAATCCCTGATGTGACAGTATTTGGCTGTGGTTAGGTCATGAAGGTGGACCCCCCGTGCATGGGATTAGTGGCTTTATGAAAGAGACTCCTCACTCCTGACACCATGTGAGGTTACAGCCGGAAGGTGCTGTTTATCAACCAGCAGGTGGGCCTTTCACCAGACCCTGAATCTGTTGGCAACTTATCTTGGACTTCCCAGCTTCCAGGATTCTAAGAAATAAATTTCTGTTGCTTATAAGCCACCCGTTTATGATATTTTGTTATAGCGGCCCAAATGGACTAAGACACCGGATTAGGGCATTAACATGGCAGGTACTCAACAAATATGAGACATCCCCTTCTTTTCTGGGTCCTTTTTCCCCTTCTTTGCTGAGGCCAGATCAGTGCTCCATAAACAGAGAGTGCTTTGCAGAGAAATGAGTTGTAACAATGAATAATCAGCACAGGATTTTTGCAAAGACTGAATCTTTTATTCCCATCAGGAGTCATTTACTTTTGGAAGTTACTTCTTGGAGTCCTTTGTGAAGAGGACAGCCTCACTGATGCTCTGAGTGATGTAATCTATGTTACAGGCATTGATACAGGTGAAATTGATCCTCCCATTCCTGGGGATGTAGATATGCTTTTTCTTGACCAGGTATTCCACCTGTTGGGCTGGTGATAACCACAGGGTCTCAGATCCTGCGGTGGCCACCTCTAGCTCCTCTCTAGCCCAGGGCGGGTTACAGAAGATAGGGAGTGTCAGCATTTCTGGGGATCCAGAAGAGTCTTTAAAGCAGTTCCACTTTCCTCAGGAAAGAATCAAGGTGTAGGGTAAAGCTATGGACTGGCATCTAGTTCACGAACTTTATGCTCAGATACAAGCCCAAATTCAAGGTCAGGAAGAGGGGAGCTTCCCCCTCCTAGACACTTACAGCTGAGTCCAAGATAGCTGTGGGACCCCTTCTGCTCAGTGATGTGATCCCAGGAGCCAGGGGTTCCCAGGAGCCGGAGCTTCTCCTTCACCTTTTCCTTGATGAGCATGATGTTATCCACAACCCCTTCCAGACTCTGCTTCCTGCCAAGGGAAAGGCAGCAAAAAATTAAAGTGTGAGATCGCCCCATGCTCTCAACCTGCTCATTGCCTTTCCACTCTTTTCCCTTCAAAAGCCCCCAACCAGAGCACCTGAGGTCACGCTCGAGGAGCCAGGGCATCTGGGATGGTTGTAAATGGGAGGGGTCCCAGCCCACAGCAATGTAAGCGAGCAAAGCAGACTGTTAAGCAGACTTTGCCAGAGCAGCAAGCCTTTGATGCTTCTTCATCTCCACCTGCAATCTTGAGGAGTTCCAATAATTCAGTAATAATTTGTCCTGTGTCCAAAAATAAGGTCCTATTACCTACTCCCTCAAGGTTGGGCACTCTCAGTTTAGACACTGACATTGGTACATTGGCTCCTCAGTACAAAGAGGCAGCATGTGCAGGAGATGCACCCACTGCATCCTGCGGATCAGCAGGTCTGTGCTATCCAGAGGCTCTGCCCCTCCCCCGTCCTGCGCTCACCCCTCACCCTTACCATTCTCCCTGCAGAGCAGGGTTACAGAGGATGGAGGTGATAATGCGCGCACCCGTGGAAGGAGGGCTCAGCCACAGGGCCCGGGCGTAGTTCATCAGCTGGGAGAGGACGCACAGCAGGAGCTCGTTGCTGAGGGCCACCACGACAAGGATCCCCACTCCTTCATCTGCGGCATCAGGACGGACAGCCTGTCTCAGCCTCCCCCACCACTGCCAAGGCCTTCCCCTAGGTCTCTGCCTCCAGCCTGGCAGGAGACAGAGCTGGGCTACAGGGCCCTCAGCCCAGCCCAGCCCAGCCCGGCCAAGCTGGTAGCCAGGCCCCAGGAAGTTGCCAGAGGCTCTTCTTCCAGAAAAAAGTAGTAGCCACATGTAAGAGTCTTAAAGGTGGGAAAGACCTGAAAGATCACTAAGTCCCACCCCCTCATCTTAGAGGAAACAGCGTTGCCTAAGGTAGGGGATGAGATGACTAAACTGGAGTCAGTTTTAGTAGCTGAGTTGAGACTGTACCACAGAACCTGACTTGGGGCTCAGTGCCCCTCCCTTCTGCCTCCACCGTGCCCCCTCTGGAAGCCTGGCAGGTAGGAGGTGTCAAGCACATCGCTTGGGCCCCTGGCATGGCACCACTTCAGCACCAGGCCCTCCCTTCTCCTGCCCACACCGTACCGTAAATGCCAAAAATTTTGGACAGAGACTGGCTGCAGAAGAACTCAAAGCCTCGAGATACAAAGTATTTTAAGAATCTAGTCTCTTCTTCCAGATCACCGGTGGATAAACCTTGACAGGGAATGTCAAAAAATGGAAATATCCGCTTGCTCTGTAGGAGAAAAGAAAGTGAGACAAGGGACGGAGGAGACAGATGCGGTGAGAGACGGGAGAGTCAGGCGGGAGGGCAGGCGCACCTTCATCATGGACATCAACTTTATCCACTGACTCTGTGACAGCTTGCAGTTGGCGACGTTCCCCATCACAAAGACACAGCCGCGCGGGGCCTGCTGCAGGTAGAGACAGTCCCATCAGGCGCAGCCCCTGCCAGGTGGTGGTGGCCCCGCGAAACTGGGAGGAGACGTGGTCCTCCATGTTGGTTTCTACTTAAGGGCTAGGAATTGAAGACTCGAAAAGGCCTTGGATGACTAGTAGGGTGGAGGGAAGGAAAGGAAAATTAAGTGTAAATCAGGCCTGGGGAGACGTTACTGAGCAGGGCACCTCTACCTCTACCACATCCAGGAGCATGCTGGGGTCCAAGCACAGCTTCGTGGAGTCCCAGAAGGAGCATTCATAAACTGAAAAACCCAAGTCCTGGAAGATGAGTCCATACGATTCTGTGGGAACACAGCTCCCCATTAGCTGCTACATCAGAGAATGGGCCTGGGGGTCGGTGGCCAAAGGTAGGAAAATAACAGGAAAAGGAAAAGCATTCTTTGGCCCGCCCATCATTTTTCTCATGACAGAGAGCGAGGAGGATAACACTGAAGACTGCACATGGGGTGGGACTCGGGAACAGGGCGATGGGGACCTGCTGTCACCCTCACCTGCCCATCACTCACCTTTTTGAGAAGAAATGATGTAAACTATTTGAGAATCCCGATACCAGGTTTTGAGAAACTGGGCTCCAAGTTGGAAAGCACCACTGTCACCCACAGTGTGCACACCCCCTACCTGCCAGCAAAAATTAAGTAGGAATAGTAGAAGAGTGATGGGGACCCCAGTCCCCCCAGGTGGTGACATTTCCCAAACAACGCTTGGGAAGGGGTACCACTTTCTCCAGGAGGTCAAAGCCACATGCTCCAATACATACACCTCCCTCCATCCACTTATTTAACCAGGTTTACTGAGCACCTACTATGTGACAGACACTGTAGTAGGCACTTGGGATAAACCAGGGAACAAAACAAAGACCCCCACCCTTGTGGTGTTCACGTCCATAGCAATCATGGGCAGCCTTTGTCTGCAAAGGGCCAAACAGTAAATATTTCAGGCTTTTGGGCCATATAACTACTCAATTCTGCCTTTATAAGAGAAAGCAGCTCTTGGCAAGACAAACCAATCAGTTCCAATAACATTTTCTGGACACTGAAATTTGAATTTCGTGTAATTTTCATGTGCCACAAAATAATAATCCTCTTTTCATGCTCAACCATGAAAAGAACATAAAACCATTTTGAAAAGGGTAATGGCGATGCTAGCACTTCAGACTCAGATCATTCCCTTCTCGAAAGAGCCTGCGCATCAGCGGTGTGGGCTGGTGAGGAGAGCCCTGGCTTTGGGCTCCGATCCTGGCTCTGCCCTTCCATGACTACGCTTGGGACTCTCTGACCCTCGAGGGGGCCCTCCGAAGTCTCTTTCAGTTTTAAAACTGTGCAATCTCTGATCTGCACTCCTTGTGTCTCTGTGAGTGAAGGAAGAGCCCTGCTTCTCACCCTGTTCTCCATAATGACTTGGCTGTTCTTTCCAAAGAGGAGACTCAAGGAGGCCTGGATGAATGAATTCATGCCCATCACTGGCATGTACTCATAGTTCAGGGAGGGATCCTGTGCGATCTGCAGTCGGATCTTGCGCACCATGGGGGACACCCAGGGTTGGCCTTCCTTGGTCATGCAGACTGTGAGGGGAAGAGCAGAGGGAGCTTTGGGCGCCAGGACTTGGTGCCTCTGAGTTTGGGCTCTGCAGACAGCCCACCAAAAAATTCACCTGTCCTGGCTCTCTAAGAGCTTTGGAAAGTTGCCTAGGAAAAGGCAACGTTCCTTTTCTATTACCCTCTTTATGAAAAGAATGTGTTGTTAGTGAATGTGTATAATTTTTGCCTTTTTTAAACAGACAACAGAAACCTCTGCCATTTTAAAGGACAAAAATGACTGACATCTAGGTGGCCAACAGGCGCATGAAAAGATGTTCAATATTGCTAATTATTAGAGAAATGCAAATCAAAATTACAACGAGTTATCACCACACACCAGTCAGAATGGCCATCATTTAAAAGTCCACAAACAATAAACGCTGGAGAGGGTGTGCAGAAAAAGGAGCCCTCTTACACTGTTGGTGGGAATGTAGGCTGGTACAGCCAATATGGAGAACAGTATGGAGGTGCTTTAAAAAATTAAAAATAGTGGGGATGGGGAGGGTATAGCTCAAGTGGTAGAGCGCATGCTTAGCACACACAAGGTCCTGGGTTCGATCCCCAGCACCTCCTCTAAAAATAAATAAACCTAATTACCACCTCTCCCAAAAATAAAAAAAAAAATTAAAAAATTTTTTTTAATTAAAAATAGAGTTCCCATATGATCCAGCAATCCCACCCCTGGGCAGTTATCTAGAAAAGATGAAAACTGTAATTCAAAAATATACATGCACCCCAATGTTCATAGCAGCACTATTTACAATAGCCATGACATGAAAACAACTTGAATGTCCGTTGACAGATAAATGGGTAAAGAAGATGTGATATATATACAATGGAATACTACTTAGCCATAAAAATGAAATAATGCCATTTGCAGCAACATGGATGGACCTAGAGATTATTATACTAAGTGAAGTAAGTCAGACAGAGAAAGACAATATCATATGTTATCACTTATATGTGGAATCTGAAAAAAAAGATACAAATGTACTTATTTACAAACCGGAAGGACTCGTGGACATAGAAAACAAACTACGGTTACCAAATGGAAAAGGAGGGAGGGATAAATTAGGAGTTTGGGATTAACACATGCACACTACTATATATAAAACAGATGAGCAACAAGGACCTACTGTACAGCACGGGGAACAATATTCAATATCTTGTAATCACTTATAATGGAAAAGAATCTGAAAAAGAATATATACGTGTGTGTATGTGTAACTGAATCATTTTGCTGTACACCTGAAACTAACACAACGTTGTAAATCAACTATATTTCAAAAAATTAAAATTAAAAAAAAAAGACAATGTGAGAGTTATAGATGCATGAAACCAAACAAAGGTGACCCTGACTTGCTCAGCGGCAAGGGCTGGCTGCACACTGAAAGTGTCCGTTTTAGGAACTAGTCTATGTTCAGGCACAGGAGAGGGAGGCGGGTAGAATGAAGAGGCTGAAGGAAGCGCAGTGTCCCTGCTGTCCTGCATGTAGGGCTGCGGGAGGATACAGCTCTTACCAAACACCTGGAGCCCTGAGAGAAGGGCAGAGGACACAGAATGACCCGGGACATTTTCTGCTCTTTTTCCCACTGGGCGATTCTGTTAACAAGGACAGATCTCAGCCTGCGGAGGCTCCCGACTACCTCCGGACTCCTCTGCCGCGGTGGAACTCTGCCCTCCTAGAGGTAATTACGGTATACTACATCGCACACTACTAAACTACCACGCACGCATCTACCGCTATAGGCCAGGAACATCTTGTTAGGGTGATCGTCTTGTTTGTAGGTCTTCAGCAAGCTGCCTTCCAGCTTCTGGGCTAGAGGCACATCTGTGAACACGGACAGACTGGGCATTGCTGAGCGAGAGTGAAGCCAAGACTATGCCTCCGCTCCTGAGCTCTTCTGCCCGGCAGCCTTCCTCCAAGTCTGAACCGGACAGACCTGCCTCTTCCCAGAACCTTGGTGGCTCCAACGCAGAGGCTCCGGACAACTGGTTACTGGAGCAACAGAACCCCACCACGCAGTCTCCATGGTGGCCATCCTCAGGGCTGTGGGAATATTCCAAAGCACTTAGGGAGCATCCTCTGAGAGAAGGGGCTGGGGGAGAGCAGAGGAAGGAATTCCCAGGTGCTTCTCCTTAACTCACTGCCTTCTCTAGTCACCTTATCAGAATAACAGATCAGCCCCCTAGAAGATGGAGAACCGTGGGCAGGCAACGAGCCACGGCAGGACTTCTCCTGCAGCAGAGAGAACCTCAGACCCAGCAGCAGTGTGAGTTGAGGGATAATGTTTAAAGAACTATTACTTTCATTTTGCTCAGGGCTCCAGATGTTCAAAGGAATAGAAAGAAAATGCTGTTTTCTCCTGCAGTTATTTTAATAAAGAGTCTAATGGTTAGAAACAAAGTAATTTGCAACTTGGTCAGCCCTGTTTTTCTCAGTGATCTAGAAGCAAGCACTTCTACAACTGTGAACTGTTCCAGTGGAGGCCGAGCAGCCGATGCAGAAGGTAAAGGTCAAGGGCAGAAGGAGTTGGCTTCTAAAGTATGAGGTTACACCCCACTAGCTGGGGCAGCCAATGACTACCTGATTGTGTCGTGCAAAGAGCCAGCCCTCTTCACTCGGGGGAATCTGTGTGGTTCAATCTGCACTCCAGGATCCACCCCCTAATCAGGTCAAAGTTAGACTTGACCTGGGGCCCCCGTCCTTGCACGGCCCCCTCCCTGTCACATTCCTGCTTCTCCAACTTCTTTGCAGGGCATGGCCTCTGAAAATCACGTTCCCAAATTCCTGACTTCACCTGTGCTTCCAGGGAAACTGCCTTGAGACAAATGACTGTGAAAGTTATCCCTATAATGGTAAAAAAAAAAAAAAAAAAAAAAAAAAAAAAACCTTTAAAACTTCAAAGAACAAAGAACACAGATATCCAACAATCAGTCCACAACCAGAGCTAACATTTTGACGTACCCTCTTCCGGTTTTCTTCTCTAAGATGCTTCTGTTTTAAGATTATTGATATCAAAATGGCCGTGTCATTTTTCATCATATTTTTTTCACTTCACATTTCCGTTGTGAGAATCTTAACATCTGTGCCAATGAGAACTTTCTATGGGCGAGTAATAAAAATCCCAAACCAAAGTAACTCGAGCAAGAGATGGAATTGATCAGCCCTGTAACTGGGCGGGCCAGGGTGTTTCTGACTTCACTGGTGGGTCGGATTAGAGCGTAAGGTGTCATCAGGGTTCCAGCTTCATCTTCTGTGGTTCCCTTGGCTCTGCTCTTTAGGCTGCTTCCGCTTTGTTCTCAGGCTGACTCTGGACATGGGAGCAAAAGCAATGTAGCACATGTGCAAAAAAGGATACATATTTGAGGAATTTATATTGCAGCTCTATTGCAAATAAGCTAAATGCCAATTACCGAAGGAATGTTTACATTAATAATGGGATGGCCATATAATGGAATTCTCTGCAGCTGTGAAAGGCAGCCCTACGTGTACAAATGTGGGAAAATCTCCAAGATACATCATTAAGTAAAAACAAAGGAGGTACTAATAGAGAGCAAAGTGGGGAACATTTTGGGGGAAATAAAAGATACGTCTGCATGTATATCCACAGAAAATCTCTGGAGGGATTCCTGAGAAGCAGGTAACTGCGATTGCCTCTTTAAAGTGGAACTGGCTGGTTGGTAGAAAGGACAGGGAATAACTGACTTGCTTTCCACCATAATGTCTGAAGCAAGGTCCTGGATCAACACCCCACCGTGCACAACAGACAGCAGGCAAGACATGTGAGTAGTCTTCGCTCCCCAGGGAAACAGGGAGCTTGCCGGTTATAGGGGGGATTGGCTTTCCCCAACTGGCTCATGTTGGTTCATCAGTTACCAGGGAAACCAGCAGAAGGGCACGCCCCTCACCGCCCCTTCGATAAACTATCTTAGCAGAGATGAAGATTAGAACAATCACTAACTGGTGCAGAGGCATTTACTGACTAGGCTCTATGATCAGAGGGAAGACCAGTCAGGTGAGGGGCATGTAGATGAGGCAGGCGCTGGGGGAGCAGGGGATGTACAGAGAGCGAGAGAACAGCCATCTTGAGTGGGCCGATCGTCCACTTACAGATCCAACTCCAGCTTCTTTCCTAACTTCAGACGTGGGAATCCAAATGCCTCTTTAATATTCCAATAAATCATTAATAGATTTTTCAGATTTACTGTGTCCAAAAACTAACTCATGTTTTCATATCCTCCCATCATTTTCCCCCCATTTTAGTAAACGGCAAGTTCATTCTGCCAGGTGCTCAGGCCAGAACTCGCCATCCCCAACTTCTCTCTTCCCTTACACCCTACATCCAAGCTATCAGCAAACCCTGTCGGTTTTACTTTGTAACACATCTGGAGTCTGTTTCCTCAATAAGAAGTTGTTGCTGGGAGGGATGTTTGGGTGGATGAGCAGAGGGTATAATCTGTGTTTAGATGGATGACAGAGGGTACAGTCTGTGTGAAGGTACAGAAACCAAGAAAAATGAATTCTTTGGTGAATTAAGTCTGGTTGGAAGAAAAGTGTATGGGGGAGGGGGTGGTGAGAAATCAGGTTAGGAATGTAGGCACTTGTCCATCTGATGCCAGGTCCTTATGTTCAGGGATCCGAATCTCACTCCCAAATGATTCAGAAAACCACTGAGTGATTTTAGGAAAGAGAATGACACTGTCAGATCTATATTTTAGAAAAATCCCTCTGGGAGCTTGCAGATGATGAATTGGAAGAGAGCCAGAACAAGGCAAGAAGTCCAAGTGTAAGCTATTTTAGTTAATTCGATTAAGAAGTGATGATGGCTTGGGCTATGGCAGTGGCTAATTGGTAGACTTGCCACATGTCCTCCATAAAAATACCATGCCCCAGACCAAGCGTGGAGGGAGATGTTGGTTCTGAAAAAGAAACTGCCTGATGTAAACAATAACTTCTGTATCAGTAATAATGTTCACTTACTTTTGTCCAAATTTTCTACCTTTTTTTAAACATAATAAACAGAGCTTTTTCATTACAACAGCTTGCAAGAAATGTTCAAAAGCAAGGGCAAGGTTTTTTAAAAAATGTTTCATGTAAGATCAGAAGTGAGCAGAACACAGGGGTCAAACCAGCAAGCTCGCAACCCTACGGCAGGGATGGGTGTGAGAGTGGGTTAGGGAGAAAGAATGAGTTTGCTCTTGAGATTAGCTCTTCCCTCTGAGTCTTGATGTTGCTGGAGCAGTAATGTTTGCCATCAGCCCCATGTTTCTGTCCTTTCCCCAAGATGAGAAGAATTTCCCCATTGGCAAAGCCACTGCCTGCGGCTCTGGACGAATGTCCCAATGTCAACTAGACTCAGACTTGGACCCAAGGGGAGTGCTCAGAGGGGCCCGATCACATGATCCAGTGACTGGGCGAGGAGACAGAGAAGCCGTGGGTGGCACTGAGCTGATGCAAAGCTCTCCCATTCCCAGCTCTGCCTTCTCTGGGGAGAAGTGACCCCTCCCCTCTCCCTTCTGAGAATACTAACAGTGGAAGCAATAAAACTTCATCTCGTTTCTTGCTAAAGAGACTTCGGAACTGTGTTTGCTGTGCCTTTATGTTATCCAGTGTGACTCCTCACTAGCAATACAGAAAGGAAAACTGTAGTTAAATGGGCTCTGGACCTTTGGCTCCTAATTTTCTTAAAAGATTTTGGGGGCAGGGGCAAGGAGTTGCAGAATGTCTGGTCATTCCCTCACTAGTGAAGAACAGAGGCTGAGATGCTGTTCCTGGAACAGGCAGGCAAGAATCTCCCACAGTCCTTTGGAGGAGAGTAGAGCATGACAGATCATGGGGACTTCCTGAGCTCCAGTCCCATTGTATTTTGGTTTCTGATAGGAACTCTTTAAAAACAGCACCAGAGCAAGACTGTTAGAAAGAGCAGAGCCTGAGGCAGGATCATGAGGGAAGTCTATATTCGTTTTCTATTGTGTCACAAATCACCACAAAGCAGCTCAGAGCCACAAACATTTACTCACAGTTTTCATGGGTCAGGAGTCCGGGTACCGGTTAGCTGGGTCTTCTGCTCAGGGTCTCACCTGGCTGCAATGATGATCTTGTTGGCTGGAACCACAGTCTCACTTGGGGCTCAGGAGCCTCTCCCAGGCTCACATGGACTCTTGCAGCTGTAGAATGCATGGTGGTTAGCTCCTTCAAGGCTAGTGGCAGCATCTGTCTTCTTCTGTCGCTGACCTTCTTTTAAAGGGATCACCTGATTAGGTCAGGCCCACCCAGGATAATCTCCCTTTTTACTTAAGTCAACTGATTAGGGACCTTAATTACCTCTTCGATATCCCTTCACCTCTGCCATATAATGTAACATGACCACAGGAGTAACATCCCACACCTTTGCCATTTCTATTTGTGAGAGGCAAATTACAGGCCCCACTCACATTCAAGGGGAGGGTCCTTGGAGGTCATCTGCCTACCACAGAGCCCAAGAGCTTCTGGCGAGAACAGCACTTCCCTGAGGAGGGACTGGAGTGGATGATAATCTTACAAGACCAGGACTCTTAGTGAAAGGGTTCACAAGTGTCTCTCACTGTAGTGGGTTGAACAGTAGCCACGCCCCAAAGATATGTCAACCTGGAACTTCAGAATGTGACCTCACTTGGAAGAAGCGGTCATGGCAGACTTAATTAAGGTCAGGATCTTGAGATGAGATCATCCTGGATTAGGATTAGGCCCCAAATCCAAATATGATGTCTCTTATAAAGAAAAACCTGTGTCTTTATAAGGGACAGAAAAGGAGATGACACTCAGGGACACAGTGGGAAAGTGAAGACAGAGGTAGAGATGGGACTGATGTGTCTCTAAGTCAAAGAAAGCCAAAAATCCCCACAGCCACCAGAAGCTGGGAAAGGGACGTGGAACAGATTCTCCTCCAGAGCCTCTGGAGGGAACTAGCCCTGTCCACGCCTCGATTTTGGACTCGCAGCCTTCAGAACTGTGAGAGGACACATTTCTGTTGTTTTAAGCCATGAAGGGTGTGGTAATTCGTTGCCGCAGTCTTTGCATGTGGAATCAAGTTAAAATGAAGTCATTCTGAAGTAAGCTGGGGGCTGATCCAAATGGCTGGTGTCCTGATAAAAGGAGGGAAGTGTGGACACAGACACACTGAGGGAGAAGAAGGCATGCAAGGGTGGAAGCAGAACTTGCAGTGATGCAGCTGCAAGCCAGGCAACGCCAATGTCGGCCGACAACCACCAGGAACAGCCAGAGACAAAAAAGGACTCTTCCCCAGGAGCCTTCAGAGCGAGCATGCTCCTGCAGTCAACACCTTGATTTTGGACTTCTAGCCCCTAGAACTGTGAGAGAATAATTTTCTGTTTGTGGTCCTGTGTTATGGAAGGCTTGGCAAACTACGACATCATCTCCCTCTTCTGGTTCCTTAGAGTTCCACTCTCATGTATGTACCATAAAGCACTGATGTCCAGAAATGCCCTCAATCTTAAACCTTCTGTGCATCCTTAAAATTAGCTCATTGTACGTGTTGCAACCCAATGATGTGGTGAGCCAAACCAGGACTGAAATGTCAGGCACAGGCGAGATCAGGGTCTGAATGGGAAACGAGAGCAGGAGGAGGAGGTGTTCAGTAACATGAATGTGAAACCAGCGGAGTCAGTCCGAGGTGGGGATGAACCTGTAGAAGAAAGACCAGGAGGACACACCCACGGTGACCAAAGACAGGTGGGTCCAAGGACCAGACTGTTTATGGAAGCAGAACTAAACAAGGACCAAAACCAGGAGACCTGGGACTAGTCATAGCTCCGTGCTCTGATGGCACGACTTCCACTTCAAAAGCAGCCTGCAGGAGCTAAGGAGAACAGTAATATAATCTCCATTTGATTCGCAGGCAAACAGAGATGCTACAGTAACATGCCCAGTGTGACTGATTGTGAGCAGTGTGTGTGGGGAAAAGAAAGTGAACTTCGGAGTCTGGTAGCCAGGGGTAGCAAACTCTGATTTCTGTGTGGCTGTATTTTTTACTCTGTTGTTACTACAACAAAAAATTTGAAGAGCACCTCTTTCTGAGTTGGCATATTTATTGGTGTTCACGAAAGGGGCATTTCCTTCCTTCTTTTCTTACTTGTTTTTCCAACTCCAAATCCCATGCAGTGTAGACTACCAACCACAGTGTTGCCTTTCATTGACGAGTAATCATGGCTACTCACAATTCACCTCTCCAGAAGTCAGTTTCTACACCCATTTTATCAAAGGATGGGGCTAAACCTTTTCTAGGGTCTCTTCCAGCCAACTTGGGAAGTCCACACATGTTGTACCTCACATCGCCATCAGGGGGCGCGCCTCGCACCGCTGAGCCCTTGGATGGAGCGCCCCTGCTCTGCATAAACGCTGAAGCTGCGAAGCTCTGCCTAGAGATTCACGGAGGTAGATGAGAGCCAGACATCCCTGTCACCCTCATTCCCCTTCTAAAGGCAAGAGAGGAGAGGAAGGTTTATTCGCAGTTTATTCTATACATGAGGAAACTGAAGACAGCATTTTGATTTTCCTCAATCTCATGATAGGATGAGCTGCGAAATGTTCAGTGGCCTTCTGGAATTTCTGCTAATTAAACTGAGTTGCGCGTTATACCTAATTAGCCTAAGGCAGACTTGGCCAGGGCTTTTGGCCCTGGGGTAGGGGAAGGTTAGCAGAACTGGACCCTCACTGCCGGCTCCACTTCTCCCCCGGACAGACACACAAACACAGACATATTCCCTCCACCACGGGGTCTGAGAGGGAGCCTGGATCTCTGGCTTTGGGGATAGAACCATAAAGAAGCACCTTTTCCATGGTCTTCACCTGGGCCCCGAGGACAAGAGAGAGAAGCTTCTCCACTCTGTAAGGGTTGGGGGATGCGCTGGTGTAGGATAATAGCCCTGTGACTGCCCATGGGGACCCCAACATGCATTTACCACCATGCCCCAGAAACTTCCAGGGGGAGAGTCCTAGAGAAGTCTGTCATCACCCTCCGCTGACCCTAATTCTGCCTTCCCTTAGCAGTTCCCCACAACCCTCCCCAATGCAGAAGGCAGGTCAGCTCTGAGTCCTCCGGCTTAGCCCTCTTCTCCCAGTCACTTCTGCCCACACCCAGGCAGGGCCAGGGGTTCCCAGGGCCCTTTAGTCCTCATTGGTCTGTGAGTCTTCACATCTCTAGGCTCAGAGGATGGGTGTTTGTCTTTCACAGCTGAGTGCTCGGGCCCTGTGCTAGCGAGAGCAGCCCGCCAGGCATGCAAGGACGTAAATCTCCCTCAGCCTGACACCTGGCCACAAGTTGCTGGAGAAATGACCAGAGTTGCTGGCTGCCTCTCCATCTGTCAGAGGCACTGGTGACAATTCGCAGACAAGAGTCCGCAGCTCCGGTGCAAGTCTAAACACTCCCGAGGAGCCTGACAGCTGGCACACGGGTGCGTGTCGAGCAAGACTCGAGCCGTATGAGCTCCTGGATCGCGTTCAAGGACAATTCTACAATCCAGAGCCCCCTTCCTCCCACCCCTAAATCATTCTTCTCCCCCGCCTAGGTCTGACCTGGCAACTTCGCTCAGCGATGTTGGGAAAATATCCCAAGATGGGGAGAGAGGCCCTCTTACTTACTCCTAGGCTAAAGCAAGACTTCCCTCTCCACTAAGGGTTCAGAAGTTGAGTTCTTGCCAAGAAACCTTCCACATCTCAGACACCAGAGATCGCGCACCCCTCTGGGTGGAAAAGGAGAAAGTCATCTGTGGTATGCAAACATCCTAAGAAATAAAACCTGGACTCCTGGACAAAAGAGCCGCCGAGTCCAGGTCCAGTTCCCAGGGAACACCCATATGTGGAAATCCACTGAGCTTATCCTCAGGGCAGATCAAAGTTTTATAATTCCGGAGCCCCTGAACTTAGCCGAGGCATTGTAGTTGCTGTCATACAACACGTTAAACTTCTGATGATTTACTGGCACTCTGCCCATGGAGTTGAAATAAGAACTCACAAAAATGACCCAGGGGTTTCCACAGAAATTTTCTTTCCATAGGAAACTGCCTGATAAGGTTGCTAAAAATTGGAATAAAGGGGGAGGGGGAATGATCAACGACTAACTTCAGTTTGACTTCAAAGGGATGATATGGACTTCCGCAGCCCAGGAAAGGAAGTGGGAAGGTGGAAGTTTGGGAAAGGATGGGAAATGTCAGAATATATTTATAACCCAAGACGTCTGCCCAACACAAACAATGCTCTGTGCCTCCAGACACACCCACACACGTCCAGCACCGAGCAAAACTGGCTCCTGATGGCAACGGGAGCTCATGAATCCACCATAGGCTTATAGAACAGGAGTGACACTTCCTCCTGTGGGCCCTCTGCTCAGTCCTGGGAGTACGATGGCTTCCAGGAGATCGGAAAGGGTGGGGAGGCAGAAGTGTCAAAGGCTCAAACTCCGTTCCCTTCACCCAAACAGACTATTCATCTTTTTGTTTCATGAGGATTAGGAAGAAAGGAGCAAGGATTAGTCCTAATTTATTGCCTCTGTCAAAAGCTAGCTCCAAGAAGGGAGTAAATGGATTATGAAAAGAAAACAAGTAGAGAAAAAAGAGGGTAACGGGTAAACTGCATTCAGTAATATTTATTAATTTGATTTTAAAAGGAAAAGAAGAGATCCGTCCTAATGGTTCACCTCCTTATGAACCCAGGAAACCTCCCCTACCCCAACCCTAGAGAAGTCCTTCTGACACCACTGTGAGGTAGATCAGAGCCATCCTGTGTCTTAAAGTGACCGAGGCTGGTGCTTAGAGAGCCAGCATGAGAGAACCAGGGACAAAACCCCAAACTTGACTTTTCCTAGCATCCTCTTCTTAGCCTGGGTCTCCAGGCCTCCAGGACACTGAATGGCTCCGGAGGTCCGGGTGGCAGGAGGAATGGAACTGGGGGGGGGGGGCGGCTCTCTTAGCCCTAAGCACACAGTACACAAGTCAGCAAGGTGATGTGTGCCTGGCCAAAGCTACCCCGCCTGCCGCAGGGGCAGCAGGGCACAGGCAGCCGGACACTCCAGCTACTGAGGTAGTGGTGAAGTTCAGGGCTGGGCTTTAGAAACGTTCTCTCAGCAAGAAAGAGAGAGGATGGTGAAAACCCACTTGGTAAGAAATCCCCCTTCCCAGCCAGGCCCCCCTCCCCCTCCCATGGCCCAGTCATCAGGTTCAGGAGGGCAGGATTTTCCAGCTGGGAAACTCCACAGGGCTCATTCTGAACAGAGGCCAGAGGCTTTCCAAAGGTTCTGGATCAACGGAGTTATTTCTTCAAGGCCTAAGAAAGTCCCCAGGAAGCCCTGGAAAAAAAAATGGAGATGTCTTGGGATGAGAGGGCAAAGGATGGGGAGGAGGGCACTGGGGGCAGGGATTGGAGGTCAGGGACCTGGGAAAGCACCTGGAATTAAACAAAAGCTTCCAGGTTCCACCCAACCACAAAGGGCCACCCTGCCCTGTTCCCACCAGGAAGAATTCGTGCTCACAGGTTTCTCACTTCCATCGGCCCTCAGGTGGGTTCTCACCTTCAGAGCTATCAAACTTTTCAAAGAAACCAGAGCTGAGCCCCAGGGCTGGGAAGGGGGGTGGGGGTGGGGGCTCTAGTCTTCTCTGCAAGTCATAGTCAGCCCAAGAGGCGGCAAGAAATCTGGGCAGAGAGAGAACTGAGCTAGAAAACCCAAAGTAGAGCCGGACAGACGGCTCAGAGCCCTCGGGCACAGTGCTCCCGGGCTGAAGAATAACCCACCCTCCCTCCTTTGCTTCAACCCCAGGGTGGAGGGGGTCGGATACGGGAAAGGAAAGGGACCTGGGTTACATTTTGGCTCCCTACTCCGTGCCTCCCTTCTCTCAGTGCGGAGGCCCTCTCCAGACCCATCGTCTAATACCAAAAACCAAACTCAAATAATTGACCAAAGGAGATACCGAATGCTTTTTGATCCCGAGCCGCAAACCCCTTTGCCTCGGCTACCTACCGGTCGAGCGATGGGCGCTGCCTGGACTCCGCCGGGGTAGTCAGGGCCACGGGGACGCCAGAGAGGGCACCGGGTGGGGAGGCGGCGGCGTGGTGCTCCCCCCTCCGGCAGCGGCACAGCAGGCGGCGGAAGGCGCTGCGAAAGTCAGGGCTGCGGCAGTAGATGAGAGGGTTAAAGGCAGAGTTGGCATAGCCTAGAGAGTTAAGGGCGAGGAAAGCCGGGCCGGGCACCAGAGAGGGGCCCCCGAGGGCGCGCACCACGTTGGCCACAAAAAAGGGCAACCAGCAGAGAGTGAAGGTTCCCATGATGAGACCCAAGGTGCGCAAGGCGCGGTGCTCC